TATTGTTAGGCACTCAGAGGCAGCCACTGCCCTCAAACAGCAGATTTTGCAGTACCAGTGTATTTTTGCCATCTATCCATGGCATGGATCCACATGAATTTTAATGTAAGCTCATCTCCAAATCATTGCCCATCTCCATTTCCTCAGTTGTGTCAGTGGCGTGAGAGGTTGGACTGGAAGGTTCTTTGAAGAGGCATATTTTCTCCCCACTTGTACTCTGCAACTTGCCTTGGGCAGAAGGGCTGGGTCCCCTGCAGCTGCTGCCGCTCTCTCTGCTGGACTGCCCTCTGGCCACTGGGCTCCCTTCTGGTCTCCTGCCCTGCCCAGACAGACCCCTTTTATCTGCCAGCAGAGAGGTGGGGCTCTGTGAGGTCACAAAGACCCAGGAGAGTGGGGTTGGGTTCCCAAGGCAGCAGCAGCAGCACCCTCAGGATTGGCTGAGTCCTGAAGATGATGTCAACAGTCCCTTTGATCATGTGATTCATCCACAAAAGCTTGCATTTTGTGGCCTTATTAGTGGCCTATAAATGTATCCCGTCACCAATCCCTCTGCTTGTTAAATCTCCCCATGTTGGCCTTCTGACAGGATTCTAGGCTGTTGCTCCAAAAAGTTATCTTCCAGCATTTGCACCAAAAGGAACTTTCCTAAGCCCTGAGCTAGGGGGAAAAATGAAAGTAATAAATGCATAAAGATGGACACAGTCACACAATGAAGCCTTTGACCCTTTTGAGTTGGCTTTTTTTTGCCTCATTTTGGACATTTTATTCTTGCCCTTGCCATGAAAAAGATATTATAAGGAGCCCGTTAAGAAAAATACCTAAATGTTTGAAACACGAGTATTTTAACACCATCCCTGCACTATCAAAGATGCAGCTGTGTTTCAAAGACTCTCCCAGCCTTTGGAACTCCCTCCCACTGGAAGGCAGATTTGCCCCATTTTTGCTGTCTTTCCACAAGCCGGAGAAGACGTTCCTCTTGAGGCAAGCTTTCCCTTATGGACTGGCTGCTTGGGTTGGGATCTTGAATGAACTGTTCCTCTTTATTGCTTTGAACACATTGTTGGTGTTGCTTTTGTTTACTGTTTTTATTGGGGTATTTGTTCCTGTAAATTTCTTTTTCCAGCACCTTTTGAAGCGTGGTTGTCAGAGACTGAACCTGCAACTTCCTGCATGCCAGACTTGCTGCCAGCCTCTGAACTAAGTTGCTCCCATCACATTCTCCATTGCTGGTGCCATCATTAGCTGGCCTTTGGTTATGGATGCCTGGCACATATTATACGTAGGTGCTTGCATTCTGGTGTTTGCATAAGGTTTGAGTAACGTGCCCTGGCTAATTGAAAGGTGCCAAGGAGTGTCTTGGTCACATGCCTGGTCATGTGCTTGATTTGTGCAATCAGGATGTACCCCAGCACTTCATCAATCAGCTGCAGGTAGCCATGGCAAGTTACTCATATCTGATGCAAGTGCCAATGGAATTCCAATTTAAATGTCTATAAATAGAAAGTGCTTCCTTTCTGTCTCCCTTTCAGCATTGAGCACATTACTGCAAAACTACTGCAGACAGTTGGATAGACATCCGTTTCTCCCAGGCTGGATATATAGTAGGACCCCTGTATCCACTGGATCAATATCCACAGTTTCACTTATCCATACTCTGAAATTTTGAAAATGATTAAAAGAAAAACAGAAAACCAGAAATAGGTATTTTCACAATGTATTTACCCAAACTGGCCACTACAGGGGGCCTGGGACCTATAGTAAATACTTATCGTTTATTAGCAAAGCTAATGCAAAGGACATGCCTAAAAATTAGGAGTCGGATCCTAAACATCTAAAGGTGAGGTGACATGTTTGCAAATTAACTGATTTTTTAAAAAATCTCAGGAAGCAAAGTAGTGGCTAATGGCAACTATTTTAAATCGGTAGCCAAAGATTCTGGAATCTTTCTGTTGTTGAAATTAGTATGGGGAGGAGGATGACCTGATCTTGCTTCCATAATCTTTTAATTTCTTGCACTGTTTAGTATTTTGCAACTTTTGTACTTCCTGAGGTTGCTCACTGCTAGAATCCCGACTGCTGTAAGGTATAGGTTTTTGTTTTGTCTTTGCTTATCCAGAAGTACAGTATCTGGCTTATTAAAACCAACTGCTTTATCTGTGATAACTTTCTTGGCCCAGTATAACACTGCAGTTTAGTTTTCTAAAACTGGAGGTAACTGGAATTTTTAATATAAAAGATATGTAGTGGATACAGTGCCAGACTAGGACACTGGAGAGCAGGGTTCAAATCCCCACTTGGTCACTGAAACTCACTGGAGGAGTGGAACTGGTAAAACCACTCCTTAAATATCTCACTTACCTTGAAAACTCAGTCACTGTAAATTGGTTCAAACTTGATAACTACATAGAATGTGAGCAATCCATAAGAATTGGCTAGCAACTGAAATGTGATCTTTGCCATTTCCTTATGCCTGCACATGTAATCTGTTGATCACAGTTTGGGGTATCTAGCTGGGATATGGTGAATTATTTAGTTTTGCAACAGGCCTTATATGTATCACTTACGCCTTGCTTCATAATTATTTTCTGATAAAATCTAATGCAACTAATTTGCTCCTGGATTGTGCCCATGAATTCCTTTCAGCCTGAAGACAGCCTAATTTGACACACAAGTTCAGTTGTTGCTTGTCAACATTATAATCCAGGAGGAAGCTGGGCTGCTGTCCAGGTAATTACAATATACAAGTTGTAATACTGTTAGCCCTGTATTGTTTTTTTTAATTGTCATCTAATGAAGTGGAACTATGTTCCCATGGGTGTAGTCTTGAAGTCTGAATGATTTGACCATGCTTCTTCTTCAAATTTTGAAATAATATTTACTGGAGAAGTTCTACAGAAAGTGTGAATATTCTCCAGAACACAACCAAACAGCCTGAAAACCCACAACAACCAAAGTGTGAATTCTTTTGAGTTATTTGTAGCACTTGATCATAGTTAATTGTCATTTTAAATATGAACAGGATTCAACCTGGATTCTGGAAACAAAAAACAAAAAACAAAAAAAAGAAAAAAAAGAAAAAGAAAAAGAAAAAAAAAGAAAAAGAAAAAACACCTAATTGCTTTAATGAGCATTTTATATATATGCAAGAAGATCACGACCTCTTGTGGTTGAACACCCACAACTCCAGAGGGAAGGGTGACTTCTATGGCTGGATCTGCTGTTGTCCTGAAACAGAATCAAACACACTCATTTACTGTATTAATGGGAAACATTAGAAAACTCAGAAATAGGTTTGAGGCCATGAAGCAATTCCTCTAGTGGATGGAGAGCCCTGGTTCAAGTTGCGTGTTGCGAAACAGGAATCTATCTGATGCCCTCCAGTGTCATTTCCATAACCATGGCAACCAACTTTCCTATATTAAATCAGACATTATACTAACATAACATGAAACAAAACCCAGATACATGTAATATCACTATTATAAGGTCCAAGTTATACAAACCAATAAAAAAGCACAAAAGTTTAAATCAGCAACAATACAGTGGTGCCTCAACTTACGACCGTTCTAACATACAACCATTTCGAGTTGCGACCAGCTCCAGACACAAAATTTTGTTTCAACTTAACGGCTGGAGCGTTGAGTTGCGAACAAAAGAGGCAGGGGAAAAAAGCAGGAAATTCAAATTAGAGGGCTAACCATTGGTCGGCGAAGAGCTTCTTTGTAGCTCTTTCACCCGAACGGTTGAGTGTGCATCGGAGACGGCTTTGGATTGCCTGGTGCTGCTTCCTGCTCCTAAGTAAGTATATTTACTTTGTTTTGCAGGGTGGGTTTGGTTGTTTCTGTGCTGTTATGTTTTTTTGTGTTTTTTTTTCAGCCCCATTTTGTTCCGATGGGGCTTGCTCTGTTTGTTTGTTTGTTTTTAATTACTATTTTTTCAGCCCCATTGTGTTCCAATGGGGCTTGCTTTGTTTGTTTGTTTTTTTTAATTACTATTTTTTCAGCGCCATTGCGTTCCAATGGAACTGGCTGTGTGCGGGGTGTTTTTTTGTTTTCAGCCCCAACGCGTTCCGATGAGGCCTGCTGTTTTTTGTTTTATTTTTTTTCAGCCGGAACAGATTAATGGGGTTTCAATGTATTCCTATGGGAAATGGTGCTTCGACTTATGACCATTTAGAGTTACATCCACCTTCTGGAACGGATTATGGTCATAAATCGAGGCATCACTGTATATTATAGCAACATTCAAGTAATCAGCAGCACTCATAAAAGCCTGGAAATTTTGCTGTTTTGGGATTGCAACTCCCAGAATTTCCCAGATAGCATGGGCGTATGGGGATTATGGGGGTTGTAATCCAAAAAGGCAACGTTTCCAAACCCTTGGCAGAACAGACACCCCGAACCGGATAGCAAGCAAAATCCAAAGAAAGAAAACAAAATGGAAAAAGTATGAAAAATCCAAAGAAACAAAACAAATTTTTAAATGACAAAAACATGTGACACCTTAAAGACTATTTTATTTATTTATTTATTTGATTTATATCCCCCCCCATCTGGTCTATACCACCACTCTAGTCGGCTTCCAGTGTGACATAAATACAATAAAATAAAACAAAAATATTACATAAGACAACATTTTAATGTCTTTACCGTGACACATGTTTTTGTCTTTTTTTTTAAAATTATGTTTTGCTTTGTTTCTCTGGGTTTTGCCTGACGTCCTTGCATAAATTAATAGTGCTACCTCTTCTAAAACTGTAAAACCGGCTGGGGTCACGGGAGTTGTAATTTTTTTTTTAAAAAAGTAACGTTTTCAAGCCTTTGGAAAGCAACTGAAGAGTGCGAAGGGCAAATCCTAGCACGGAGCTCCGAAAAAAGTCCCCCGCCGGAAGTTGCCACTGGTTTCCATCCCAACCCGACCGCACCGCTTACTGCTGCTCTCTTACCTTATTTTCCCCAAAGGAGGGATTATTTTGGGGGGCGGGGCGTTGACGCGATGACGCGATCTTTGTGCGCCCGGCTCCCTTTTCGAGCGGTCACGCTTCCTCCCCCGGAAGCGTGGGTCTCGGACTGCACGCCGGCTAAGCGATCTGAGCGGGGGGAAAAGCAGCATGGAGAAAAGCGAGGAGTTTCTCGGGAAGGTGACGCCGGACCCGGTGCGCAGTTTCGAGCGCTGGAAGAAGAAGTACGTCAAGCGGAAGAACAAGCTGCGGCAGCAGCGCAAGCAGAAGAAGCGTCCCGAATGGGTGGTGGAGCGGGAGAAGATCGCCGGCTTGGTGCGACGCTACTCCGAGGTGAGACCTCGTTCCATGGTGGGGATCATCCTTGGGGCGCAGGGAAGGATGATGGGGGTCCTCTAGCACGTGCTGCGCCTTTGAGCCATTGTCGGGGGACCATAAACAAACCCACCGACCTCTAATGTTTAGGAAGCCTGAACGGCGAGCACGTGGGAGTGTTTCTCTTTCTAGGTCAGTATTTAAGAATAGGTTCAAGGAAAAGAGGCAAACTTTTAGTTTTTACTTTTTACTTTTATTTGGTTTTTACCCCCCCCCCCGACAAAGTCTACTCGGGGCGGCTTACATACACAAAAACATAGCAAATAACATATTTAAAACATCAACAATTTTTAACAATTATATAAATCATTGCCAAAATGGTACTTTACTCAGGAGCAGTCTGTGGATTTACGATTGCTTTATGTTGTCGCTTAAATCAGTGGTTCTTAACCTTTGTTACTCAGGTGTTTTTGAACTGCAACTCCCAGAAACCTCAGCTGGCAGAGCTGATGGTGAAGGCTTCTGGGAGTTGCAGTCCAAAAACATCTGAGTAATAAAGGTTAAGAACCAATGGCTTAAATCACTGGTTCTTAACCTTGGGTTACTCAGGAGTTTTGGACTGCAACTCCCAGAAGCCTTCACCACCAACTGTGCTGGCTGGGGTTTCTGGGAGTTGCAGTTCAAAAACATCCAAGTAAGAAAGGTTAAGAACCACTGGCTTAAATGAGCCATGGCTTGTGGTGAAGGTAACTCATTGGTTGACTTGGAGCTAGTGTTTCCCCCCACCCCCAACCTGGGTTACCTCACAAGATTGTTGTGAGAAGGAAGTGTGGAGAAGGTGAGCTGGTTGGAGGCAAGGAAGATGGCAAATGTCACAGAAGAAGAATAAACTTGTTGGCCTTTGAGATAATATAAAAGTTTCAGTCAACTTTGACTGCAACAGATGAATGTGCCTGTGTCTAGAATTTATGACATAGCAAAGTCTTGGAATTTCCAAGATGCTTAGAACGTTTTGGTTGTATAATATAATAAGAAATGATGAGTAAAGATTATTTCAGCTGATCATTTAGGATAACTAATGGGAAAAGAAATACAGAAAGGAGAAGAAATGGATTGGAGGAGTGGTTTGGACTGAGTACGATGTTGTTGCTTACAGCTGCCACATCTGAAATCAGAACAAATGTGTGCATGTCCATGGAGACATTCCTGTGAAATGCTGAATACATTCAGTCACTTTCCCATGTTAGACTGATCCTAATTAAAAAAAAGAGTTAAGGCCTAGGTATAAACTGAACTGACTGGAAAGCTTATTGAGGTATCTACTTGATGAGTTAAAGTGGTGCGATACCCATATTTGTTGTTGTTTAGTTGTTGAGTCGTGTCCAACTCTTTGTGGCTCCATGAACCATATCTCCATATCTTCCACTTCTATTTCCCAGGAGGTGATGGGACCAGTGGCCACGATCTTAATTTTTTTGATGTTGAACTTCATACCGTTTTTTGCATTCTCCTCTTGCACCCTCCTTACGAGGTTCTTTAATTCCTCCCCACTTTCTGCTATCAGGTATTATTAAGATCAATTAACCATGAACTAGAAGAACTGTTGATGGAAACCAGAAGGGTCATTGAGGGAGAATGCAAAAAGACAGTTCAATCTATAGGAGTAATGTATGCAGGAAACTGAGCTACATGCAAATGAAAGAAGAATGAAAATTGGTGGAAGAAACAGCAATAATTTAAGAGAAGCAGATGACACCATTTTATTGGCAGAAAGCAGCAGTGACTTGAAAGGACTCCGTTAAAGGTGAAGGAAGAGAGCGTAAAAGCAGGACTGTAGTTGACTATTAGGAAGACAAAAATCTTGATTGTAGAATCATTATGTAAGTTTAATGTGGAGAATGAAGAAATGGCTATTGTATTGCTAATAATCATATACAGATGTGAAACTGAACAGTGAAGTAAGCCAGCAGTGGAAAAAATGTTTGAAATATGGTGCTGGTACCTATTGTGTGGGTAGCCTGAACTGCCAGAAAGATGAATGCCTGCCTGCCTACCTACCTTCCTTCCTTTAAATATTATTCCTTAAATATCAGCTATCTAGCTACTGGGCCACTTTGGGCGGTTTACAACAAAAATGAACAAATGGGTCAAGTCAAGGTTTATCTCTCTTTCTCGAGCAAAAATGATGAAATTGTCATTCTTTGGGCAGATCATGAGAATACAAGGCTCTGGAAAAGTGAATAATGCTAGGAAAAGTTGACCGTGAAAGGAAAAGCTGAAGACTATGGAAAAGGGAATAATGCTAGGAAAAGTTGACGGTGAAAGGAAAAGCTGAAGACTACATATAAGATAGATTGATTCCATAAAGGGAAGCCACAGTCTTGAATTTGCAAGATCAGAGCAGTGCTGTTAATGATAGGACTTTTTTGTAGGTAGATCACTCATTCATAAGATTGTATTCAGTTGGAGGCAGCTTGATAGCACATAAGAACAACATAAATTTGAAAGAATGTGTTATATACGTACAGAAACATCCAAAATGCAGTACATTTCTGTGCAGTGATAAGAAAAAGTGCCTGCATATAGAAAACTACTATATTAGGTGATAAAGAAGATGGGTTGGACTTTCCTTTGTAAGAAAGGAAATTGTAGGTTTGGAAAATGCAGTGATGTGATAGAACTTTGTAAATTTACACATGGTGTTCAAAAAGGGGGTGGGGAGAATTTGTTCCTCTGTCATAGTATTAGAATCATATGCAAGTGGGGGGAGTTATCCGATGAAGCTGCATGGTAAAAGATGCAGAATAGTGAAGTCCTTACTTCACACTGGAGATTGCTGAACTGTGGAATCCTTTACCCTAAGGTGCTTTGGTGGCCACCAAAGTAGATAGCTTTAAGCAGATTTATGACAAAGCTGTCAGTAATGAGTAGTCAGGTTCATGTTATATATTACTTTTAGGATCAGAAGCAGTATGCAGGGAAACACAAACAAAGAGATGCTACTTCACTTCTGTCTTCCTTCTGCATTTCCCAGAACCATCTGGTTGGTACTTTGGGAGCAGAATGTTAGACTAACCTGCCTTTGGTGTGATCCAGCTGGAGTCTTGTGCGCTGCTATGATTGAACACAGTGGGAAGAGGATGGTGAAGTAGATGGGCCTTGGTTCTGATCCAGCATGATTGTTCTTAACACTCTCTGCACCTGGCACCTTTGGCTTCCATGTTTGCATGGCAGAAGGACACTGGCCAGTTTGTATGCCAGCTGGATGACATTTAAAAATGCTCCATCATTTATGAAATGTTTCCTGTTTACCACAACCCTTTTTGTTTAGAGGAAGGCCAGGCTGGTGTAAACGCAGTGTCCATCGGTCCATAAAAACTCCTGATATGCTTGAAGTGTTGTATGTTGTTACTGCTATTCCTCAGAATATGCCTGCATTACATTTTACAAATTAGTTTCTGCCTTTGTATTAGGGGATGTGGAAGTGACTGCATTTTTCTTTATTACTATTCTTACTTCAAAATCTCTTTTCTGACATTGACAGTATTTTTCAGTTCCCATTGAAATTGAAACAACATTGTCATTTTAGTTACTGCTAACATGCTGGCAATAGGATTTCAGTGCAGGAATACAAGTGTTCATTCGTTCGTTTAGTCGTGTCCGACTCTTCGTGACCCCATGGACCAGAGCACGCCAGGCCCCCGTCCTCCACCGCCCCCTGGAGTTGTGTCAAATTCATGCCGGTCGCTTCGCAGACACTGTCCAGCCATCTCATCCTTGGTCGTCCCCTTCTTTTCTTGCCATCACACTTTCCCAACATCAGTGTCTTTTCCAGGGAGTCTTTTCTTCTCATTAGATGGCCAAAGTACTGGAGCCTCATCTTCAGGATCTGTCCTTCCAGTGAGCACTCAGGGTTGATTTCCTTTAGAATTGATAGGTTTGTTCTCCTTGCAGTCCAGGGGATTCTCAAGAGTCTCCTCCAGCACCACAATTCAAAGGCATCAGTTCTTCGGTGGTCAGCTTTCTTTATGGTCCAGCTCTCACTTCCATACATCACGACAGGAAAAACCATAGCTTTGACTATTCGGACTTTCGTTGGCAAGGTGATGTCTCTGCTTTTTAAGATGCTGTCAAGATTTGTCATCGCTTTCCTCCCAAGAAGCAGGCGTCTTTTAATTTCGTGGCTGCTGTCTCCATCTGCAGTAATCATGGAGCCCAGGAAAATAAAATCTGTCACTGCCTCCATATCTTCCCCTTCTATTTCCCAGGAGGTGATGGGACCAGTGGCCATGATCTTAGTTTTTTTGATGTTGAGTTTCAGGCCGTTTTTTGCACTCTCCTCTTTCACCCTCATTACAAGGTTCTTTAATTCCTCCTCACTTTCTGCCATCAGAGTGGTATCATCTGCATATCGGAGGTTGTTGACATTTCTTCCGGCAATCTTAATTCCGGCTTGGGATTCCTCCAGTCCAGCCTTCCGCATGATGTATTCTGCATATAAGTTAAATAAGCTGGGGGACAATATACAGCCTTGCCGTACTCCTTTCCCAATTTTGAACCAATCAGTTGTTCCATATCCAGTTCTAACTGTTGCTTCCTGTCCCACATATAGGTTTCTCAGGAGACAGATAAAGTGGTCAGGCACTCCCATTTCTTTAAGAACTTGCCATAGTCTGTTGTGGTCCACACAGTCAAAGGCTTTCGCATAGTCAATGAAGCAGAAGTAGATATTTTTCTGGAACTCTCTGGCTTTCTCCATAATCCAGCGCAAGTTAGCAATTTGGTCTCGAGTTCCTCTGCCTCTTCGGAATCCAGCTTGTACTTCTGGGAGTTCTCGGTCCACATACTGCTGAAGCCTACCTTGCAGGATTTTGAGCATAACCTTGCTAGCGTGCGAAATGAGTGCAATTGTACGGTAGTTGGAGCATTCTTTGGCACTGCCTTTCTTTGGGATTGGGATGTAGACTGATCTTTTCCAATCCTCTGGCCACTGTTGAGTTTTCCAAACTTGCTGGCATATTGAATGTAGCACCTTAACAGCATCATCTTTCAAGATTTTAAATAGTTCAACTGGAATGCCATCACCTCCACTGGCCTTGTTGTTAGCCAGGCTTTCTAAGGCCCACTTGACTTCACTCTCCAGGATGTCTGGCTCAAGGTCAGCAACTACATTGTCTGCATTGTCCGGGATATCCAAATCTTTCCGATATAATTCCTCTGTGTATTCTTGCCACCTCGTCTTGACGTCTTCTGCTTCTGTTAGGTCCCTCCCATTTTTGTCTTTTATCATGTTCATCTTTGCGCAAAATGTTCCTCTAATATGTCCAATTTTCCTGAACAGATCTCTGGTCTTTCCTTTTCTGTTATCTTCCTCTATTTCTTTGCATTGTTCATTTAAGAGAAATGTTCCTCTAATATCTCCGATTTTCCTGAACAGATCTCTGGTTTTTCCTTTTCTGTTATTTTCCTCTATTTCTTTGCATTGTTCATTTAGGAAGGCCCTCTTGTCTCTCCTTGCTATTCTTTGGAAGTCTGCATTCAACTTTCTGTAACTTTCCCTATCTCCCTTGCATTTTGCTTCCCTTCTCCTCTTTGCTATTTCTAAGGCCTCGTTGGACAGCCATTTTGCTTTCTTGCATTTCCTTTTCTTTGGGATGGTTTTTGTTGCTGCCTCCTGTACAATGTTACGAGCCTCTGTCCAAAGTTCTTCAGGCACTCTGTCCACCAAATCTAGTTCCTTAAATCTGTTCTTTACTTCCACTGTGTACTCATAGGGGATTTGGTTTAGATTATACCTGAGTGGCCCAGTGGTTTTTCCTACTCTCTTCAGCCTAAGCTTGAATTTTGCTATGAGAAGCTGATGATCAGAGCCGTAGTCAGCTCCAGGTCTTGTTTTTTATAGAGTCGCCTCTTGTGTTGTTGGAAAAGAGTGTTTGTGATGACCAGCTTATTCTTTTGACAAATCTCTATTAGCCTTTGTCGTGCTTCGTTCTGACCTCCAAGGCCAAACTTCCCTGTTGTTCCTTTTATCCATCCATTTATCTATCATCCATCCATCCATCCATTCTGTCTGTCTGTCTGTCTATCAAGAGAGAGACTTATTTCAAGGATGCAAATGATTAGACAAATTTTTTATGAAGATGTATTTGTGAATTTTAAAGCCTTCTCAGTGAAGTACGTTTGGATCAGCTTTTAATCTTTTCAGTTTCTTAGTGAAAATTAGATTTGTGGTTTGGGAAAAAAAAACAAGATGGCTGAAATATATTAAAATAATTTATTGTTTTTTAACAGACTTTAAAGCTTTTGTGCCTCATTGTGATGCGATACAAATGTTAGAGTTGGGTGTGGTCACTACATGTATCCTCAGGTGGGTTGCTAATGGATTGAAGTTATGGAGTGTGACGACAGATATTTGTACTTGGGAATTTGGTTTTATGAATTATGGAGTCATAGGCATGCAATAAATGCAAAATGGAGATAGCCTGCAGTAGCTTCCTTCAGATGCAAACTGCGGTATAAAACAAAAACTTTAAAGTGGCTTTTGAGAATTTGCTTTGTACAAAAATTTTGAATTTTTAAAATTTAAATTGGGATTTAAATCATGATTGAATAACCGGTAGATTCAGATCAAATCCACCCTGCCTGTAGGGGTAGTGGGTATTTGACGAGTGATTGGTGACTATAGCCAAATACTGTAGTGGTTAAAGCTACTGTCGTTAGCTTTAATATTGTCTTTTAATGATGTAAGCCACATTGGGTCCTTTTAAGGAGAAAAGTGGGGTAAAAATATTTTAAATAAATAAATGGCTGTGAAGCAATTCCTGAAAATCAATGGAGTTTATGAAGGAATTGACTCACCAAAATGCCTAGTGCAATTTGCTATACGAAGCAACAGGATTTCAACCACAGTTTTGAAGTACAGTGGTGCGTCGCATCACGACGTTAATTCATTCCAGCGCTGTAGAACGAAAATGTCGTGATGTGATTTTAAAAAGCCAATAGAAATGCGTTCCTAGGGGCTTCAAACTCACTGTCCAATGAAGATCCTCCATAGTGTGGCCATTTTCGCTTCCTGTGCAGCGAGGAATCCGTGCGAAAACACAGCGGGTGGCCATTTTGTTTACCTGGTGGCCATTTTGAATCTGCCGATGAGCTGTTAAAAAATTGTCGCTTTGTGATGATCGTTTCCCGAAGCAGGGAACCGATCATCGCAAAGCGAAATTCCCCCATAGGGAATATCGTTTTGCGATCACTTTTGCGATCGCAAAAAGTTTGTCGTGATGCGATTTCGTTGTCAAACGGAGCGCCCGTCTTGCGGTGCACCACTGTAGTTTGGCAGGGCTGTATCCCGTACATTTTTACCTAGAAAATTAAACTCAGCTCAAGGGGACTTATCTCTGATTAAGCCTGCATGAGGGAAACTACGTACTTATCTCAGCTTGTATCCTTTCACAGACAGGCTTGATGCAGGAGCTGCACAGTTGCACATGGAACTCCAATAATAGTTCAAAATATCTCATATTAATTCTGTATAGTTCAGAAGCAGGAGATGAGAGTGGAATTAAAATACTCTCTTTTACATTCGCCTGCATAGACTTAAACATTACAAGATATTTTTTCTATATTTTGCATAATATTTTTATATATTTAGCAGGCTGTGTTCTTTGTCTATTTTCAGATCAACACAAATGAAATTGTACGGTTTTCTGATTTCCCTCTCTCTAGGAAGACACTGCAAGGTAAGTACAGCACTTTTGTTTACAGTATTGATTTATTAGTGACTTTTTTTTGTCCCGGTATTTCCTCCAGTGAACTCAAAGTGGTGCATTGGCCCTCTACCTGTCAACTTGATTTGCACAGCAACCTTATGAATGTATACAGTAAGTTAGGCTAGCCTCGTCCAGTTGAGATTCAGGGCTCAGTGGAGACTGGGAGGAGGCTTTCCCAAGCACTTTATAGCTACTGCCTCCCAATTGGGTCTTACATTCACAAACATCCTTTTGGCAACCTTAGCAAAACATTATCAGCCCCCTATTCTACCCATTCTTGCATTAATAGCCCCTCCCTCCTTGGTTATCTTATTCTTTTTTTAGTTATCAGTAGACAATTTTTCCTGACCTCTAAATAACAAAGTTATTTTCAAATCGGCTTTATTAGCTACTTAAAATTAAATTATAAAATGCAAAAGAATAAGGACTGTTCTAGTCCAAAATGAAATTTCTTTTATGGAAATCACTGTTATGTATTGTATAACCTTGTGTTAACTCATTTGTGTTGTTACATACTGCCAAGTGAAGACTCACTAATACTGATTCTGATAGGGTCTTCAAGGTATTTAAGGAGTAGTTTTACCAATCTCTGCCCCTACAATTTTCTGTGGCAGAGCTGGGGCATCGAACCCAGCTCAGGGATGTTCTACCTCCCTCTTGTAGATAAATGATTGATTACAAGCATCTTAAGCTGTTGGTGTTGCCTTCTATGCACCAGGTTTGCAAGGAGCTCAGTATCGTATGGTGACAGAAATCCAGAGGCAGACCATAGGTTTGGCACTGCAAGGTAAAGATGTACTGGGAGCTGCAAAGACAGGTTCAGGCAAAACCCTGGCTTTCGTTGTACCTGTAAGTAATGAATTATCACTGTGTAGAACACTGTATTTATTACCTGTGATTGTTACATGAACTGAACAAACACACAGTTTGCATGTAGAACATACTGCTACTCGGGTGTTTTGATAATAACAGTGCTTGACATTTCTGCATAAATCCCTGGAGAGCTGCTGCCAATCTGAATTGACATTGCTGGTCTAAATGATTCAATATAAGGCATATTGTCCCATCCTTCAGGCACCAGATCCCCAGGTAGTTCAAAATCCATGTACAGCTCTTATGCCCCTTAAGCATAACTAATGAGCATAAACAGTTTATTAACAGAAAAAGACAGACAGAACAGTTCTCTCGATTGGGTTCTCTTCCATAGCACTAACAATATTTTTCATACAGTACTGTATGCAATGCGCCTTAAAGGTCCTTATGACCCCCTGATCTAGAGGTTCAATTGTTGTGTTTGGGGGCAGGTTGACCACTTTGATGTCTTCGGTGTTGAACTCATGGAATTGGAGTATTTATTTCTTTGGTTGTTTATTGGAAAAAAAATCTGTGTGTAATCAAAACTGTGCTGTTCAGATCCATGCAATTCACGGTAGAAGTGTGCAGCCATAAGGAATCCCGTGTGCAGCCTTTTTGGGCACATGCGGGACAGCTGATCACACATCTAACATTTTTCATCCGATCCCAATCTTGATCTGCTTAAGTTCAAATATTTTTATTGCTTATTTCTAATTGCATAGGAGTCCTGTTGTTTGGGACAGAGTAAATTCTGACTTGGTGTTATAGTGTGAATATTATGTGTTCGAGTAGAAAGTATTTTGTAAAAAAAAATACTGCTCTGAATCTTTTTGCTGCTTGCTTAAGTTTTAGATTGCTTTCTTCGACTGGTTGTGTCTACCTAACTGGGTTCCAGGATGTATCTTGGCTGTGCCTGTAATCAGGCTTGTGACTGAGACATGACCCAGCACCTCATCTATTTAGCTACAATTACTGCTACCAATTATGCAGACCTTAGGCAATCATCAATAATAGGATCCTGGCCATTGCCTTTATATTTCTGTTGTTTCTAAAATAATGTTCTGTGAAGGGATTTCCTACGGTTTCTAACCAGCGTGTTGCAACTGTTCAGGCCTTGGAACTCTTGTACCGTCAACAGTGGACTTCTGTGGATGGATTGGGAGTTTTAATCATCTCACCCACCAGAGAGTTAGCATACCAAACGTTTGAAGTTCTGCGTAAAGTGGGGAAGAACCATGACTTTTCGGCTGGCCTTATCATCGGTGGAAAGGTTTGCTCCTCTGTTTGTAAATAAGGATTTCTTCAAATAATAAATAAGTATTTGTGGGTTTTCTGTACATTTCGCCCGTTTCTTGGGTTTGTGTAAAGCTTGAGGGCTCAGAGGGGAGGAAGAGCGCCTGTTCTTAAGGTGGTTGTTGTTGTCTAGTTGTTTAGTCGTGACCGACTCTTCATAATGGTCACGAATTCTTACTGAAGGATGTCACTTAAAAACCGGAACATTAAAATCCAAACCAAAATATTAGAAAGAGTTAAATAATTTTAAAAGTTGAAATAGATTTCAACAGGCTCACCCTGTTTTGTGGCAAAGTCACCAGTCCTAGATGTTTCTGGGAATATGACATTTTTTCCATCCCCCCCCACCCACTAGACATGTGTGGCAGTGTGTGCAAAATAAATGCTACCCCTGCTTTACAGAGACTCATTGTGGAACTAGGTATGATGTGTCTGCCACAAATGGCCCAGCATAGATGGTTGTGTGATCTTGAAAGCTCTCTTGTGTGCTGTACCTTGTACGTAGAGTTTTTCCATGCCATCACAGACAGATACATGGGCAAAAAGATCAGATCTATCAATGCTGGGAGCTTCTACACCTGTTTTAATATTTATTTTACTGAATGAAGTGAGAGAGGCTTGTATGCTAAAATTATGGATCTTGAGCCTCAGATCTTTCTGATATTTCAGGACTTGAAACAAGAATCGAGCCGGATACACAATATAAACATTCTTATATGTACTCCTGGTCGGCTCCTGCAGCACATGGATGAAACGTCCTATTTCCATGCCTCTGAGTTGCAAATGTTGAGTAAGTATAAAATGTTGAATTTAATTGTCTTTTTTCTTTTCCTGGATGGATATAATGTGAATTCAGATAGAGACTTTTGTTCAAAACATCATGGTGAACACCACTGTGTTGACATGAAACTCCAGTGAAAATACAGCTCAGTGCAAGTTGTGGTCATTGTTGCAGTGTTAGGGGAAAAAAAAACTCATTTTCACTAGAATCTTTCCCTGAAATTAAGAAGTGTGTGTGTTTACTCATGTGTTTCCATTTCTGCGGTTTTGCAGGCGGGACGTCTTGAATATCTTTTTCTTAAATAAAAGAACTGAAGCTGAAAAAATCCTTTGACTATATGGGAGGATTTGGAGTGAGTGAACAAGAACAGAACATAAAATCAATGCTGTCCCTCCAGATCTCGTGTGGTGTGTTTGGCAACCACAGATAACATCCATTCTATATTGTGGCCAATAGCTTGGGTCCAAACTAAAGTCAATGAATTTAGCTCTCATCAATTTCACTGGGACCAGCACCTTACTAAGATAGGCCAGTTTCCTCTTTGCTCACTGTGTATGGCTAAAGGGCCTTCTCTTTGGCTGCTCTGAAGTTGTGGAATGCTCTCTCCCATGAGCTTGGGTTAACCCTCTCCCTTTTATACTTCCTCTGACCATTGAAGACTCACCTCTTCAGGCAGGCTTTTAATAACCCTAACTGAGCCCCTAAGTACGTTTGTGTTTAGAGTTTTAAATGTTCTCAGCCATTTAATGTAATTTATTTATTTATTTATTTATTTACTTACTTACTAACTTAACTTAACTTACATGCTGCTCACTCTACCCAAAGGTCTCTGGGCGACTTACAATAATTAAAATGCAATAAAAAGATAAAACAATTAAAATATAATTACAATAGATAATGTTAATTTTTATTATTATTGAAGTTTAATTGTTTTTAATGGGTAATTTATTGTGTTTTTAATTTCACTTGTAACATTGTTGGGACATAGGCAACCTGTAAGTGAGATGAAATAAATAAATGTCGGTTGAATGTGTGGCTGAGGTTTTTCCAAACTCCTGCTTCATAGGATGACTCCTTTGCTGGCCATATGGATAATGCATGGGTTCTGGGTTCCTCAGGTTCGAAGCATTATGGCAGGTGTGGCCAAACCCTTGACCTTGGCCACACTTCCCATGGTGCCTTGGTCCCATGGACCCCCCCCCCCAAAGCCAGTCTTTATGCAAGAAGCAGCTCCGCCAGGCAGGCAGGGTTCAAGGAAAGTGAGCAAGGCTGCCTTCCTCTTTTTTCTTCTTCTCCGTCCTCTCTCTGTGACTGACACAGAATGTTGCCAGAGGGTGGAGGTGAGATGGATTCTGCTGACAGGTGCATCTTGACCACATACAACATTCAGTGAAAGATGTGAAATGAATTGTACCTTGTCATATTTTTGGAGGTTTGTTGCTTATGTCGTCTAGCACAAGGTTAAGAACATTTACTTTTTTAGACTCTAACTTTCAGTATGGCTACTAGCATGGCTGTGGGGAGCTTCAGTTCAAAACTCTGGAAGTTGTAGTCCAAAAAAGTAAATATCTCTGGTAATGAATACCAAGTTTACAAACAGGTTCTTTATTTTTGTGTGTTGGATCAAAAGCTGCATTTCATGTGGAAAAGCTCCAAGTATTAGTGTGGAAATTAGCCTTGCTTCCTGTCCAAAGGTTTAGAAGCTTTATTTCAAAAATCCATTCCCTCCAGCTGGCTTTTTTCATTCCAGTACTTGATGAAGCTGACAGGATTTTGGACATGGGCTTTGCTGAGACAATGAATGCAATCATAGAAAATCTTCCCAAGAAACGGCAGACACTTCTTTTCTCAGCCACGCAGACCAAATCTGTGAAGGACCTGGCCCGGCTAAGCTTGAAAGACCCAGAGTATGTCTGGGTGCATGAGAAAGCAAAGTTCAGGTAGGGAAAAAATTCTGTCTTTTTGGATTTCAAAGAATTAATGGTGTTTTGTCCTTATTCTTCATGTCTGTAGAACTAGATGGGAGGAAATTATTTGTTATCCAGCCTGAGCGCTGGTGATAAAGCAGGCTGGAAAGCTGAAGTAAGCTTATACACAAAAAAGAAGAAAATTAATCTGGCCATTCGAAGTGTGGTTGTGGAGTTCTTTGTGTCAACTCTGCTTTGTCTTTTCAAGTACTTCTTATGGTCCATGGAAGTTTTTTGGGAAGGGAAGTGTCAACTAAATGGACGAAAATGGTGTAACTGTTGAAAAATGGTTCAAGTAATTTTTGGTTTAAACCAGCCCTCCTCTTCTGAATGGCCTCTGCATGTGACAATACATGTACAAGATACCCTACTATAAACATAATGGCTACTTAACAGATATGCATATTCTTACAGGGCTATTGCAAGATATTTGGCTGCCTAAAACAGAGCACCTTCGCATCATTCCGAGCATATGGTACCCAGCAGTGGCTGTTCTATTAGGATAAATGGGGTACAGCTCCTTCGGGTTTACTCTACCCCCTGTCAGCCATTTCTTCCTGCCTCTTTGCTGGAGGTTGAGGTTCAGAGCCCTGTCTGTGTTCTCCATGTGAAGTCCCAGCCTCACATTGTATGTGTTTGTGTGCATGGAAGAGAGAGATGGGGAGGAAAGAGAAGAAGGAAGCAAGAAGTGGTGACGTCTTTAATTTATGGAAAAGATGTAATACTTGAGTTTTGGAATAGAGAAATGGGATAAGGCAGTAGCTGAGAGAATGTTTCACTACTGCTGGGTGGATACTCTTGTGAATGTCTCTCTTTGTATGTCTGCATAAATACTCAGTTTCCACGCTCGGTTTGTACTTCGTTGGTGCTAGGCCTTCAGCCCCACTCAACAAGAACTGGCCAACTTGAACTGTATCCATGTCCATTTAAGGTTATTCTTGTAGCTGAGGCAAAAAATCCCTCAGGTTCTCCTTCTTATGAATAAAAATGAAAGACTATTTAATAGGAATAAATTGAGTGTATTGCACTTTCATGAAATATAGTAGGGCCCCCTGTTTCTGTGGGGGATTGGTTCAAAGTGCCCCCCCCCACTGTGAATGCTGAAAACCACAGATAATACCCTGTTTCCCTGAAAATAAGGCAACCTGAATATAACTCCTAGCATCATTTTTCAGGATGCTTGTAATATAAGCCCTACCCCAAAAATAAGCCCTAGTTAAGTGAAAGCCCGCCCTCCACCATTGTGCAGCAACGAGAAAAAGATGACACAAGTGTATTTGCATAAATACAGATTGTTGTACATGAAAAAATAAAACATCCCCTGAAAATAAGCCCTACTGTGTTTTTGGAGCAAAAATTAATATAAGACCCTGTCTTATTTTTGGGGAAACACACTAGTGAATTCTATACATAGTGTAGTATCTGGGTCCCTTTAGTGACCAGTTCTGGTAATTATATCATGGAAGTATATAGCATGGTTTCTGGGTTTCTTCTTTTAACATTTTTAATATTTTCAGACTACATATAAATGAAATGAGGGACAACAATCACATGGATATGGGGGCCCTACTGTACTCAAAATGACCTTGAGGCAGCTGTCATACTCTGCCTAATCGTAGAATCAACTGCATGCATAGGAATGTAGCCGTATTACATCCTGTTAAAAAATATGGAGTCTCATTTCTAAGTTGGTACTTCTTTTTTGTCACCTGTGGTGTCCTCCATCTCACCTTTGCTGTTATCTCATCTTCCTTGGTTGGCCACGATTCTCAAGCATGTGACAGGTCTTTCTGCTCACTTTGGTTCTCTGTGTCAAACACAAATGTCAGCTGTGGGTGAAAAGATTGTTGATCTGCAGGCTTTATTCAGGTTCATGAACGCTATTTTATTTGCCTCTTTCGAAGGCTGTTTGAATTATCGGGAACATGGAATGGATTAAACAATTCTCTTATATTTGTTTTCTCACTTTGACACCCCTTTTGCATCAGTACTGAGCTTTACTGGAAGCATTGTTGTGAGGATTGTGGCATTTTTCAAAACACTTGAGGTCCTGATACTAGTAGGAATAGCAATATATGTGTTAATGTTGCGTTATAAAAAGAGGGATGTGATACAGTATTGGGTTATAAAATCTCTTTCCTTGTAATATGCTTTGTTTCTTAGCTTGTAACATACCGACCAAACTTTATGGTGTTACATACAGCACTGATGTTACCTGTCTGTCATGGGTTTGGAGGGAAAGTTCCATCCTATGGGGAGTGGAAGGCGGGACATCAGGAGGAGGGGCTGTACTGTATATATAGGTGAAGCCTGTGTGGTGAAGTTAGGAGACGCTGGGATGTGACGAAGCAGCAGCTGGGAAGAAGAAGCTGGTGTGGGAGTCTGTGTGTCAGACAGGGTACTACTGTGTGTCAGAGTACCAACCTGATAGGTTCAGGTGTCTGTTGGTTAGCCAGAACTGATAGGTTCAGGGTCTGTGCTTCAAGTTAAGGGTTCTGTGTGAACCAAACTGTATGCATGTATGAATGAGAATAAGCCACGTTACTATATCTTATTCACCTAATCATTTTATTTTCCCTGTGTGTTGTATTTAAATAAACCTTATTCTTTTATTTGTTAAAAATCCATCCCTGGTCGGTGTGACTTCTTATAGGGAATGGTTGGTGGCAGCTTAGTTAACGTGTGGCAGATCCCAGTAGGTCTGGGTTTGTCACATATGGTACTTTGATTAAACTTGGAAGTGTTATTGAGCTAAGAAAAGATGGTCTATGTAACAAGATTTCATCTTATGCCTCTGTTTTTTTCCCCACTCCTAAACATAACACAGACCTGAATTCTTGAGGATCTAATTTCAGATTCTGTATCTTCCTTTTGCGTGTTCCCCCCCCCCCTCTTCTTGTGATAAGAAAAGATTAATGTCTTTGTAATAACACTTCTCCTTGCTTGGGAATATTCTAGTAGATTGAATTAGTCATGAAAACGAAGCAAAAATAAATGGAATTTGTATTCTTCTGCAGGAATTATTGCCTTGAGAAGCAGTTATTTTTTTTAGGCTTATCGAACAGGGAAAAAGCTTTAAGCAAGATTAGTACAGGGCTGCGGTGTTAGTTGCGTAATTTACTGAGCAGTGGGGCTGAAGCAAATCATTGCAGGGCGTTGTAATTTAAGCAAAGCGAGGAGCATATTTGGAGGTATATTTTTTATGACAGGGTTCCACAGGGGAAGAGACAATGAATCATTTTCTGTAGGTTTGATGGGAAGAGTGGATGATAATTCTAAACATCCCGAGCAACTGATTTAAGACTTCGTTCTTATGTCCCAACAGTATTGTTTTATATGATAATTTGATTAATATGCATCCTTGTTAATTTTGTTTTGTAAACCGTGGGTGGTGATGTTGCTTTCTGCTATAACTCTGCAAAGGCACCTGTTTAGCATGCAAAAAACTCCAAAGTTCAGCCTCTAGCACCTCTGATTAAACAGTAAAATACATTCATTTGAAACCTAGAGAGTTTTTTGCCAGTCAGAGCAGACTATCAAGGCAGATTCCAACAGTAGGTAGTAGCTTCTTGTGCAGAAATGTTTTGTAAATAGATTGTGAAGATAGATTTTAGGTTCACTTATTCACTAGGATAAATAAATTTCCATGGAGTGGAATTTTATTGGTTAGTTGCAGTGGCAAATTGCTCCTGGTTACATCTTCTGTCCTTTTTGAGAATCCTGATGGGTCAGAGAATCTGATGCCTAGCCAGTTTCCCACAGAATGTTATAGCCCTGTAGCAAAAACCATAAGTTTGTGTTCATCGTGGTTGGCATTTATGCTATTTAGGACTGATTTCTGAGTGAAATCAAACTATCATTTCTAGTCATATCAAAATCCATCTGGGTATCAAGGTTTTTCATTGTTGCAATGATTCCAGGTAGAGAACAGATTGGTTGAATTTAGTCGGGCCCTTTTGTTCCAGTGCCTCAGATAAGGAAGAGCTGGCAGAGAATTTTCAATCATTTGTTCTTTTCACGTTGTTAAGAATTTTTTATTTTATTATTTATTATACCTTGAACACCATTTCTGAAAAGTTGGGATGTGAGCTTATTGTTGTCATATTAAAAAATGGCAAATATTTAGTAACTTTATATGCTATTATCATTTATCATCTGCTTATCATGCACCTTTTTTTAAAGTACTCCAGCGACCTTGGAACAGAACTATATTGTCTGTGAACTGCATCAGAAAATCAATATGTTGTACTCCTTCTTGAGAAGTCACCTGAATAAGAAGAGCATTGTGTTTTTTGCAAGCTGTAAAGAGGTATTTCTGTATTTATAAATATTGTGTTTGCCTATGAATGAAAACAATACAACAGAAAAACCCAACATAAGAGGTGGTAAAAAGACTTGCTGTTAGGACTCTGAGATTGGAAATGGTCGTAATGTTGGTGCTTCATGCATGAGAAAGATATGTCTCGTGATGCTTTGAAGGGATACGTAATATTTTGATACAGGTATCAAAATAATAGGCAGAAATGCATCAAGCACTTGTTAAAGTGCTTGATGAATTCCTGCCTATTAATATTTTAATACCTGTGTGCAGAAATCTCTGTACAAAGAGAAATGCAAGAATCTCTTGTAAAATTTGCCAATGGCTAAAATGTTTTCAGCAATAATTTCTGCAGGATAATCTCTTGGAGAAGGCCTCAGAATATTTATTTATATTATTTATGTGCCACCTTTCTCCCCCTCCCCCAGGGGATCCTAGGAGGTTCACAATAATTAAAGCTGTGCAACAATAAGTTTAAAATGCTATATAAACTATATTAAAAGGAAATAATTAAACATTAATCAAGATTAAAAACTGTTTTTAAAAACACATAAGAAGCTGTGTTTCCTAAACAGAGTGTTCCCTGGACCCCCACTTAATTGCTTAAAAGCCTGCCTGAATAGGAAGGTCTTTGACAGATGATGGAAGGTTGAGGGGGCAACCTGGCTTCTTGAGGCAGCCCATTCCAAAGCCTGGGAGCAACCTCTGAGAAGGCCCTCTCTTGTGTCTTTGCCAAATGAGATCGTGGAGGTGATGGAATTGAGAAGAGCCTCCCTGGAGTTTCTTAAAAGCCTAGTAGGCTCCTATGGGGCGACCCAAGCTGTATAGAGCTTTATAGGTGATAACCAGCACTTGGAATTAAGCCTGGAAAGACACTGGCAGTCAGTGAAGTTATCGTAATCATGGAGTTACATGCTCTCTGTAACCAGCTCCAGTCGGCTGCAGCGTTTTGAACCAGGTGAAGTATCCAAACATTTTTCAAAGGCAGCTTCATGTAGAACATACTGCAGTAATCCAGCCGAGATGTGGCTAACATGTCTATCACTGTAGCCAGATTGTGTATCTGCCCGCAGAGCCTATAAGGCTCCATGGTACACAGAGGAGCTTTTGGCCATGAAACGGTTGTGGAGACGGCTTGAGCGCAGATGGAGGAAATATCGCTGCGACTATGACCAAACATAGCTTAGAGCCCATTATCGGGCCTACTCTGTGGTAATACGGCTGGCGAAATGCCAGTATTTCTCCAGCCGTATTGCTTCCTCGGTGTGTCGTCCAGCAGAGCTATTTCGAGTGGTCCGGGACCTTCTTCAACCTAATGGTTCGGTGGAGGGAGCTGTAACCAAACAGCCACTAAACAGGATGAAGGCCCAGCACAGGAGGGGCAATGGCTCAGGACTACAGTTAGCAGTGTTTCTTCATTTGAAGGGCAAAGGACACTCATTTGATGGCCAAGATGTACTCATTTTGGACTGAGAAGATAGGTGGTTTGAAAAGAGGGGTCAGGGAGAGGCTGTGCATGTGCATATAGAATATCCCTCACTCAACAGGGGTGAAGACCTTTGATACAACCTGTTTATTTATCATGGTGTCCTTTCATCTGTCCCTAGAAAAATCAGAATCACACACACCAGAAAGACCACTGTTAACAACTGTTAACGACCCATGAGAACTGGGTGGAGAAGGACCGCAGAAGTGGGATTTTCACTCACCCCCAGTTCTTTGTCCATCTAATGAGCCTCTTCAGACCAGGGAGAAGTGAAACCAATGGAGGATATATCAGGGGGTCTCCTACCAACTCTTGCCAGGCTGAAGAAGCTACTTGGATGAGTAGCAAAGCATTTCAATCTAATAAGAAAGAAGTCCTTTTGCCATCAGTCATGTTCATCCAGGATCAAATCCTTACTGTTAGTGGTCTTACCTTTCACTGGCCTGGCATATGGCAATAAATGATATAGCAGTAAATTTGAAAGCGCAGATATTCCTTATGTCAGTTTCCCAACCTTGGGTTCCCAGATGTCTTTGGATTAAAACTCCGAGAAGCCTTCACCGCTAACTGTGCTGGCCAGG